GTTCCTTGAGTGCTCGGTGCAGTTGGATCGAGCCTCTTATGGTAACTGAAGTAATGACGAGGAGGGGGGAGGGGGCGTCTATAGCACGCATCAATCTATATATTGGCTGTTGTGATAAGTCGTGACGCCCCGTTGCGCTCTTTGGGGCGTTATATGATCTGCTCCACGACGTCGTGGAATGGGAGCCAACTGCGCCGTTCGGGAGTCAACTGCGCGCGCCGACGGTCACCTGTTCTCGCAGGCTCCCTTGAGTCATACGAGGTCCTGCTGCTGTTTCCACTCTCTTTCCCCCCCGTGACGCCGAGGAAAAGCGTCGGTCTGCGGATCGCACGGTTTGGTGTTAGATTGCCAATAAGGTGATTGGAAAATCTCGTTTAATTAGAAGAATTGTGCCTAATTATGAGTGCGTATGATTAATTATGAATGAGAATACCTCCCCTTTGGATGCTTAGACGTTGCCGATTATGGGCTGTGTATGCTTAACGTTGCCTTGGCCTGTGTGTAACGCTTTACCGTCGCAGTCGAGCGTAGCCTTCTTCGCATCATGTCTAGCCCATAAACACACGCTGCGTTATACTAAACGGCTTCTTCGATAAGAGGCTTGTATACAAAACGAACGAGGTAAACGGACGAAACACCGCCCGGGTCTATTGCTATTTGTCATGAACTGACTTTTGCTTTTTCCCGTCGTCTCGTCGTCTCATGTAGATTTAGAACGTGTCGCGTTATGTTTGTGAGTCGACAACGAACAGCTCTGCGGTCTTATGCCCCGGCGCTGACGCTGCCAATATATCATCCAAAGTGTGCAAACACTGCCTGAGGCTTTCTTGTATGGCAGACCTGTCACATTGGTCGTACAAAAACTGTCTGCATAACATGCACACATATGCACGAGGCAAACATGCTTCAAACATGCTTGTGTCTGCACTTTGTGTCTTCTGGACAATCTAATAATTATAACTTTAGAGTTACTGCGGTTTTGCGGTTCCTGCTGAGCACGTCCACCGGCGGCGAGCTCACGTGAGAGCGTCCACAAAAGTGCAGCCATCATTGTCTTACCATGTTCTGAGCATCAAGTTCGAATAACGCGCTCAAACAGACCTTTCCGAAATTACGTGGCGTTCCCGCCGTTTGCTTAACACATTTCAACGTTTCGATGTATGGCAAGTGACCATGAGATGCCGACTGCCAGTCGACCTTTGACGCAACGCTAGTCTCCTGACTGATTGGTCACCCGATGCAGCCGAACCACTTGCTCGAGTGCCTTCGTGTTACTCTGGGAGGAGGGAAAACATCGCGTGTGCAGATATACGGCGGCGCTTTGCATGCTGCTCGAAACGTGCGCGCTCCGGGCTTCCCTAGAGAAAGAGCGCGAAGAAGAGTGATGAACATCGGAAGATAAAGGCATGCGTTAGGCGTGCTTATAGTTTACGTACGCGCGGCACCACTGGGCGCTGTAGAGTGCCTCAATTGAAGAGAGAATGCAACTGCAACTATAGGGAGAGTTTGCAATGTAATGGCGGATGTCTCCTAAAGCTACTGGGCAAATTGAACACCACTCCGCATGATTTGCGTTGTCATGGGCTAAGGTGAAAAGCGGGCCGGGGAAGCAGAGAGACTTGCAGATGATCAACGATTTTGTCACCTCCTCGCAGATATTAAAAACGCGGCTGATAAACACCCTGATCGAGCGGTTGGAAGCGCTCTGCAACCTAGGCACACTGCTGTGCAGCCGCCTTCCCGTTATTTTTGGTTTCAGCACGCTCACGCTACTGCGTCTCAGAGTTCAGCGGACTCTGAGAATTGCGCATCTACGGGCTTGCAGCAGAGGATGACACCTAAAAATAAGAGATCTACTGAGCGCTCACGAGCTTACCATGCAGGACAAAAGTCTGCGAGGTCGGCCGTTGGCACGAAGTCTTCGAGGAGTGCTCACAGGTCCTCGAACAAGCGTGTGAGGCTCTGCAGGGGAAGCGCTCTCAAAGCGGCAGAGGATTCCCGTTCAAGTGCCGCGTGCGGCCGCGCACAAGATAACCTTCGGTCGTCTACATCTGGATGTAGACGCGCACACCACCGAAAAACAGCCAACAATAGCGCGCCCACTTCAGTAAGGCAAGCGGCGCTCTTCGCGAATGGATATGACAGGATGCCGCTCGTGGAACCCAGTGAAACCACTCCCAGCGATTTCGGCAAAGCTGAAATCGCTGGTAGTAGTTTCGCTGGGGTCCACGCGTTCCTCTCATTTGCAAGTAACGAGTACCGTATTCCGCTACTTTTTTTCGTAAATGTCTACGACGCTGCACAGCGGTAATTAATGCTGTCTCAGTGGCGAAAAAGCGCGCACCTCCTGTGACCGCCGGCGCCGCGTCGCCACTGGAGGTGCCGGATGCGGACCACCCTTCTCGTTGGTCGAGCTGTTTAGAGGAAGTTCAATGATTGGTGTTTCTTAGTGGACTTCGGTCAAGCCTGCATTGAGCGACTTTTGCTAGCGCGCTGTCGAGGCTCGGTCGCGGGATAGTCGACTGCCTCCATTATTTCGCTGACGGTCGAGCGGGAAATAATGTCGCTTTCACGAACGGGGAGCTCGGTCGGCCTTCAGTGCCGCGATCCAATCTCTCGGCGTGTCGGGCCGAGGAAAAGACGTCGCGGACACGAGAGTCGGCCACTTATCTTCGCATCGAACACGGGGCCCCGTTATAGAAGCCACTTGGCCGTCATAAATGCCTAAGAGGAAAACAAAAACACGCCTTGAAATTGGAATGACGGCCCCCTCCGCCGTGCGGCGACCGACTTTTTTCTCTTCTGTTTTGCCGTTCACGAATGAGCGGCAGCACGCCGAGAGGAGTCGGGGAGCCGACAGTTCGAAACGGCCGAGATACTCTCGGATGGGGAGTCGTCAATGGCGCTTTGGGTGGTGAAGCGACATTTTCGTCGTCATATCTTACGCATTTGTTTTTAACCATGGGAAATTCTTTCGAGACATTCTGCGTAGTTTGAGGTCTGGACGTGTGCGAGATGCTGATGCTAGGCTCGCAAGTTCGCGGAGTGAACATTCGTAGCACCAAGCAAGCCGAACCTACACTCCAGAAGGAGAAAAAAAAAGGAAAATGATACGTTTAATTTTTCGCAGACCACTGTAAGACTCAAGGTCTCGGCGGTGGATGATGAGGTCAAGAAAGAACCTGATGCGACCTAGAGCATTATGTCCGCGATATGACATTGAGGATGACGTAAGCGTGTCCGTCGTTTGACACACATCGTGGACCTCAGGTGTGAGGTAGCGACTTTATCCGCCCCGTCATTGGCCGAGCTCCTTCGTTAGAACTCCGAGCCCTAGGCGGCAAAAGTATATGTAATGCGGGCCCCTTTCTAGCTACACGACCCTCTCCCCAATGATGAAATAATGAATGGTGACAAGCGTTCCTTCCACGCAGTAGCATTGGACTACGTCCGACACGTTGCGAGAGAGATTACGTCGACATTCGGCTGAGAATTACCACGGCAACCAAGAGTAGCTACGCTTTGGTCGCGGTGACAGCTCGCAGTGGTATTTCTGTGTATGCCGGCTGCAACGCTATCAAACTTTGTCAACGCCGCTGCTTGGACGGGCTTTAGCGCTTTGTAGAAGGAGCTAAAGATATGTAAAATTTGTTTTGCTTATTTTGAGCGCAGCTAGCAAGCAACCCAGGAATCAAAACAATGCGAACTTTTAACTGTCGTTTGTTCGGTACTCGGCAGCTACAGACAAACGTTTCCAGCAGCTCGCTGGCCCAATCCTCACCTTGATTTGCACCGTGCTCTGTGCACCCAAGCGATGACATCTTACTGTGCAAAAAAGCCCGCACGGTGAGATGTCCAGAGTTTTAAAAGAAGTCGGGAGCATGCTCGAGCAGCACAGCAACCGACAGCATTTCGGGATAAGAGTAAGTTATTTTTTTGTATTGTTACGAAGAAGGAAGGTGCGACGTGAACTGCCTGCCGTTCTACTGCTTCCTGGAAAGTTTCGCAGTGATTGTACAAATGTCACTGGATAAGACGCGCCGTTGTTTACGACTAGCTTACGAAAAGAGGCTTGGCGGGAAGACACCTTTCAGTGCGTCCGCCTGTCTCGCCTGTCAACCCCCCAAAAGTGCCCCTGCGTGTGAGAGCCTCGAAGAGCGCCTTTATTGAGGGAGAGTGCAAGGATCCAGACAACACGTTGATCACTTTCAAGAAAACAGTTTATTGCTTCTTCTTTTTTTTTTTTTCTCGATCAATCGCTAGTCGGAGATATAAAACAAACGTGAGAGACAACAAAACAAAACAAAGATCAACGTCCAACGCTTGGAAACAATCCATATTTATTTACAAGAGTGAGTAGTGGGAGCGGCGCAGCAATTAAACGTGTCTACGGAGAGGACGCTGTTTCACCCGTAATACAACTTTCATCCAGTCGTTACAAGCGCCACACCCGCGCCATTGGGGACGTCCGCGAATGCATCTGTTTCGTCGTGTCGTTGGCCCTGTCTGTGTGTGTGTGTCTGTGCCTGTGTGTGTGGGGATTCTCGGCGACGGCGGCGCCCTTGCCGGGCAGAGAGTCGGCGTCGGGAGTCGCTGGCGCGCACGCCGCGGCCGGCTGCCGGCGACCGATCCCGCGCCGGCCTCCACGCGGCCGGGCCCCGCCGGGGACTCCGAAGCGCTCTTCGGACTCCGCGTTGCTCCACGAGAGCAAACATCTCGACGCCGCGGTGTGAATATAAATTAGAAAGCTTATCTCCTAAGGGAGGGGGTGATTAGTTCACACAGTATGAATGCCGACGTAGACGATGAAGGAGAGACGTGTTACATAAATAGTGTACAACGAACAATCACATGAAACCAGTTCACGACTAGGAGGGAAACGAGGGGCGGGAGGGGGGGTTGTCGACATGGAATGCGGGCCAAGGGGCTCGCGGTTCGCAGTCACACGCACAATGGTCACGCTCATCCAAGCACGCACTCAGCCAGGCACTCGTCGCAGGCTACCACCAGCCTCCGCCTCCGAGGTCGTAGCCCCCTCCGCCGCCCAGGAAGTGCGCTCCTCCGGACACGTAGCCTCCGCTGCCGTGGCCCCCGCCGAATCCTCCGCCGAAGCCCCCGCCGCCGTAGCCTCCGCCGCCGTGGCCTCCGCCGCCGTGCTCGGGCAGGATGACGTGCTTGTAGGCCGAGTGCGAGTGGACCGGGTAGTAGGCCGGGTAGTGGACGGGCACCTTGGTGTGCTTGGTGATGTGGAACGGGATGATGGGGATGAACTTGGGGTGCAGCGCCTTGGCCAAGATGGCCAGCTTGGCCAGCTTCTTGGCCTTGAGCTTGTGCAGGGCGGAGGCCTCCCGCACTGCCACGGCGGCCAGGACCAGGCCAACCAGGGCCAGCGCCAGTATCCGCGTCGACTGCATGGCCCCGCTGTGTTCGCTCGGATCCAGGGGGTGCAAGGGGGGCCTTCTGCGACGACTGCTGCCCACCTCGGCCGCGGCCCGCTTTTATAGACGGGGCCCGGTGACTGACCTATATGAAGTCATTTACATCGGCCGCCGCCTCGGTTCGTTAGGGCGGAGGAGGAGGGGGCCGATGACAACGGCCGCCCCCCCTCCGGTCGCACACCGAAATAGCCGGTCCACATATGCACGGGGTGAGGCCGCGCTTCCTACTCGGCCGCCCTTGGCGCCTCGCCGTCTCGGCTGGAAATGGAGCCCCTCACCTGGAAAAACCGCTTTCCTCCCGGCGGCCACTTTCACCGTCGGACGGAGGGCGACCAGGGACCCCGAAAGAGGTCCAGGAACCGGCCGGGGGGGAGAGGGCCGCGGGAAAATGGATCACGGCTGACTAGAATATATATATAAACCTAGGAAGTGGGACCAAGGTAACGCGAGTCAGAAATAAACCGGCGAAGCCTCTCTAATCGCTCCAGACGAGATAGCGGCTCGGGGGTCCCGTCCAACGCTCCCGATAATGGAACTCCGCGTATTCTGACGCCCCCACCAGCCTCCCGAGCTTCCTGGAAGGCGGAGCCCGCCCGCGAGGGCTTTCCCGACGGCGGGCTTCTCCGGCAGCCACCGCTGCGCCGCGGAGACGCTGCGCTCCCAGGAAACAGCGCCAACGCGCGCGGCTGTCAAAGCCTCGCTCGCCCCCTCCGTCGGGGGACGGAGTCTCAGGATCGGATGACGCGCGGCTTTGTTTATTTCTGCCCGCTTTGTTTTCTTCTCCCACCGAGCGGGTAGTGGTGCCGCGGTCATTTCCCGACCCGTTATTCGACGGCCGGACAGTGGAGAGACCGCGACCATGCGGGGGGGCTACCGGCGTCCGCGGCACAATTGTCCGAGCCCGCTCAAAGGATTCAAGTTGGCACCCGCGCTCCCCTTACCCCGCACGACGCACCTCCCGCGTCGAGCGCCTCATCCGCGCGGCGCCGCGATTTTGTCGCTTGAAGACGTCCTCCCCGCCCCACGTGTGCCTGGACTGCTCCGCGTCGAAGGCTCCCATCCGAGGCCCGTCTGAGCAGGCTGAGCGCGAAGGCCCCCCCGATCGGTTCGCCACCCCGAGGTTCCACCGCTGCCGAGTCACGGTGCTTGAGGGACGTGCAAATTCGCAGCCGTCAGAAAATAGCTCGTCACGTGCCGGAATCAATCAGACGTCTCGGATTATCGCACTGGGCACCCGGTGAGTGGGGCGAGCCATCTTTTTTCGGGCCGGATTGTTTTCTCAGTGATGTGAGACGGACCGCCACCGACAAACGGGTTCTCTCCTCAATGAGCCTAGATGCCTCCAAGTGACAGCTGACGTATCGCGACCAGTCGCGGGTTCTTCTCGTCCCGTACCAGGGGTCATCTGAATCATAAAGGACAGCCCCAGGAAAACGCGAAGGTAGTCAAGGCTAGAAGGGAAAACTTGAGAGTACTGTAATGTAATATGCGAGTCTCATGCGATGCTCGACGGAAAGATCCATGTGCTCAGTCCATCTGTCCTCCGTCGTCGTCTTGTACTTGCGGAGAGGAGGCGCTCGTAAACTTAACCTAATTTAAGAAAAGTGCCCTAGTTGGCATGCCTCTCTGGAGGATTGCTTTTCCTGATGGACCTTCGCCCCGCATGGTTATATGCACCAGTGTCCCTGGGATTTGCGCTGGCCGCTTGTAACTGCTGTCCTGATGAAATATAAACTCGAGATGATCTCGATGAATTCAGGTGATGGGTCCGACTGATCTTTGAACTCGTTCAGGTGTACCAAACGACGGTGTTTCGTTCGCCGGCAGCAAAAATTAGTTCACTCACTTACGTTTGACTCCAAGCGACTGGGACAAGACTGGATTTCAAGCCTCCTAGGACTGCTTATGACCGAATGCGCAGCAGTGCAGGATGTAAGCGGTCACGAAGGCTTTAAAAGCCGGTCTTGTCTCAGTCGGTTGGAGGAAAGCGCAAGTATGTGAACGGGCCTTATCGCTGACAGTGACACTCCATGTAGCGCGTAATTTTCGTTATTTAAGCGCTGAGATGCATGTGAGAACCGGTCTTTAGACACTGAGAATCTCAGTAATGTATCTACGAATGTTTCTTTGTCCTTGAATCATTGTGTGAATGTAGCGCTTAAGTGTGGTTAGACCTCTGAACTTAGCGCCGATCGCCGTCGTGAGGCGAGACGCTAAGTTTGTGAGTGGTAAATCGCAGACCGATGGCGGGAAATTCTTCTTGACTTCAGGATCTCTTACAAGGTGCGAGATAAAACTGTGAACAATACGAGACAATTATGCTTGAATATTTCTTGTGGCTAAAAACTAGAGTAAGAAAGTCGCACATAGCCTCCGCCGTAAGTGGACTACCGAAAGTAACATCTGACCACTTAGTTACATCATCCACCAAACTGACGGCAAATTGGGACTGTTCAGGACGTTTGTAGAAAGGTACAACAGCAGCACTGGCTATGTTACTCATCCACAAAAGAGACATCAGACGCCCATCGGAGCTTACTAATTTCCCTCTCTCTGAAAGAACACGCCATTAATGTCTGCTCCAAGCCGTTTCTATACTTCTCTGATGCAAACAGCACCGGTCCCAGAGGTGATTCTGTTGTTACAGCTGTCTTGTCATTTGTATGTATGGTGCCTGTGTTTCGTGCCCCACTTTTCGTGCTCCTCGTCGATGGGTCGACGTTCAATCGAAAAGAAAGAAGGACATATACTTATTTGCGTAGTTATGAGCTAGCCACAACGGAGCGCTATACACGTAACTTGAAGTAGTGAAACAGTTCTAAATCCAGTTTATGCTCGAGACCACACCCTACACTCTAAAAAAAGCCCATGCATCTATTTTCCCGCACAACACTCGGAGAGCCAATGAGCGCCACCTACGGAGGCAGCTCGGCGAATGACGATACCGAAACATATATGTTTAGACCAAAAGAAGCAGTCTGAGTTATGACATTAAGCAATGCAAGCGTGACGTTTTGCATTGCTTATTGTCACAACTCAGTCTGCGCTTTTTGGTCTAAACATATGTTTCGATATCGTCCTTCGCTGAGCTGCCTCCGTATGTGGCGCAGATTGGCTCTCCGAGTGTTGTGCGGGAAAGTAAAGGCATTGGCTCTTTTTAGAGTGTATGTTTATACATTGTATCGCTCGAGGCAAACCAGGTTCTTGTTTAGCTTCCTTCTGGCCACCGTTTAGATTGATTGAGCAGAGACTGTGCGCAAGGCTAGTGAACTCTTCCTCGACGTTGCATGATTCCATGTGGTCCTACGAATTCGACGCATGTTGACAAGAAAGTGAGCATGGCATAATATTCTCGTTACCGTTCTGATAATTATTACTTAGTTATAATACTTGAGGAGTCGCATGGCCCGCCCATCTATTTACAATGGCTGTCGATCGTTTCCTTGAGTAGAAAGCAGTGTAACGATGGCCTGCTGGTTCCTCTTGTTGAATGTGAAATGGCATTGAAAAGGATAACCTGGCATTTTCGCGGGACCAGACGCACGACAGAGCCTTCATATCCCCTTGCACACTAGTAGCACTCAACGCTAGAAAGTGTTTACGATTTGAATGAGACGGTCCATCCCATTCAGATGTACTTGTAGAACTGAGTCTAATTCTTAATGCATCCGCTGTGACGATGGCAGGCAGAGTCACGTCGAAAACTTTGAGCGAGACGCAGTTGCGAATCCGGTCTTCGACGGAAGTGCATGGCTTATTCTGTGCTCCTTGCCGTCGGAAGGGGACGTCCTTCCGCAGGAGCGCATGAAGGCACTCTGCGATGGCTCAGAAGTTGGGAATGAACTTGAGGTAGTGCAGGCCGATCAACGATCATAACCACGCTATATCAGTAAAGAAAGAAGCTTGCATGATATCTGCGGCACTGTCTTGACGTGGCTTTATTCACTGGGGCAGCAGGTCATGCCCATTGGAGTTGTTTCGCCAAGAAAACTATTTTTTCATGGTTTGACTTTAAAATTGCATCTTGTAGGCTGGTAAGAACTTGACACGGGTGGGTGTCATGCTCTGGGCTTCTGTGCCCGAACATTACCACATAATCCAGGTAAACGATGGTACCGTGTACCATTTGTGGCTGAAACGTTGGCTACCTGTTCACTAGTCAGAAAAGCAAAACCCAGTCGCATATCCACAGCAAGTAAAGAATGTAATCACATTTGGACCGCTCCTGTTCGTACGGCGTGAGTGCGCAGGCGACGTGTAGTCGAATAACCCCAGAATTGTACTTTCTGGTCCAGAATGGTCGATAAGAGTTGCACTCGAAGGTTATAACTTGAAGGACTCAGCGGAGGATTTGAGGGTCAGACTTGGGAAGCGTATGGCCCCCCAAGCCTGACAGATTTCACGTCACGGTCAAAGCGTTTTCCTGAACTAATTTATTAACCTAATCCTAATATTTTCGATTTCATTAAAAACTAAACATTTCATTAATAAAAACAAAAAAAGCTGGTGTATGTCTTTTTTCTTTTTTTTACAAGAGAAAGTTGCCCCAGGGAGTCTTGGGAAAGTGGGGGAGGGGGTCGGCCACTGAACGACGCGATGCCCTGCTTGTCCATCAGCTTTGGGAGGAAGGAGCATGTTGCCAAACCCAGCTGAGGGACTTTGGATACATATAATTTATGAAGAAAAAATCGCTTGCTTTTTGTAGGGCTCAAACAAAATCTGTGGTCGTGTTTTACTTTACACTCCAAGTTTACTAGGTAAAGAAAGCGTTGAAGGACTTTAGTGTTGTTTTGGTTCGCCAGGACTTAACCAATTAACATATTAATTTATCGCAATAAAAGCATCAACTGATTAATCAGAAGGTCAACCGATCATTTGCCCAGCCCTAGGCTTAAGCAACTCACTTTGTCAACCATCGAATTTGTTTACGCGTAAAGAACTCGCATTTACATAGACGGGTTCTCTAGCAAAAATGG